CCCCCCCCCCCCCGTTCTATCCCGGACAAAACCCACGGCACGTGGTTCCTCGCTCCCAGGCGGGAAGCCGACCCGCGTGGGGAGCGACCTCCTGTTCAGCTACACCCCGTCTCCCGAGCCGGCCTTCCGTGGAAGGAGGAGGTCCACCGCTTCCCGCCGTCGAGACACCGCCGAGGGGGGACCCCGCGAAGTGGACCCCAGCAACGGGTGGGTCCCGTCCTCCCCGTCGTCATGTTCGTCCTCCCCTTCCCCCAAGCGGACGAGGAGCAAGGATGGAAGTGGCCGCAGCGTCAGCAGCGGCGGCGGCGGCGGCGGCGGCGGCGGTACGGCCAGCAGCGGCTCGCCGTCCCCCAGACGCTCCCTCCTCCGCCGTGGCGTGAAGAAGAACAGCGGCGATGGCACCGCCGCCGCTAACCCCCCCGCTGCTGCCGGTGCTACTACCGGTGCTAAGGACGACAACGACGACGACGGCAACACCGCCGCGACGACGGCCGCCGCTCGGCCGGGGGACCGCGCGAGGGTGCTCTACGACAACACGGACTGGTACATGGCTACTGTCGTGGGCGTCCACCGGGGCTCCTCCGTCACCGTCCGCTTCGACGACGGCAGCAAGGCCAGGGTAACGCTAAGCCCGGGCGACGCCGAGATCTGCGCAGACGATGCGCTGGCGCCGGCAGCGAGCGAGCCGCCTGCGCCTGCCTCTTCGAGCTCCCGCGGGGGCGGTGGCGGCGGCGGCGGCGGCGGGAGGAGGAGGCCCGGGAGTGGGGTCGCCGTCAAGGGGGTGCGGGCGTTGGGCGCCGGTGGTCGGGTCCTTGGGGAGGGGGAGGGCAAAGCGCTGACAGAGGAGCGGGCGAAGGCCCTTCTCGACACGGCGCCTCAGAAGCTGGTGGGCCTTGTGTACCAGGAGCACCACCGGGGGTACGGCGGCTGGTGGGAGACCGTGGTGACCGAGGTCTCCGAGGAGCGGATGGGCGATAGCGGCGGTGCCGGAAGAGACAAGGACGGAGGGGGGAACGCGATGTGGCCGGAGTCCGTGGTGGTCGGGCAGATGGACCGCTCCGGGGAGAAGGTTAAGGCCAAAGCCGGTTCCGCCGCCGCGTCCTCCGGAGAAGGCGGCGGCGGCGACGATGATGAGCCGGATTTCGTCTACACCCGGAAGACGAGGTCGCTGCTCTCCCGCCTGCGCACGTGGGACAAGCACCGGGAGGCCGAGTGGGAGGCGACGGCGCTGGAGGCGGACGACGAGGCTGCTGCTGCTGCCGAGCCAAAGGTGAGACGGAGCACGGTGGTGTTGTTCTCCCCGTCAATAGGTGGTGAGTTCCTCGGGCTCCACGCAGGCGGCGGTGTTCCCCAACACCGCCGTAGATGCGTGTAGCTTTAGCGGGAGGGCCATCTACGAAGACCTATGTTCAGCCGGGAACGCGCGTGGCTTCGTGGCCGCTACAGCAGGAGTCGGCAGGCAGGCTGACTCCGAACGATTAGTTTCTGTCCGCCCTCCTTCCCTTTCCCCACCCCCCCCCACTCCCGAGAGCCTGGTCCGGTGGGAACCCGACGTGCTCCCCCCTCTCCCCGGACGGTGTTTGCCATCGGGGTTGGGTTTTCGTCGCTTGGCAACGACGTTGTAAAACAAGCCAATTCACTTCGTGAACTCGGCAACCAGGTTACCGTTTTTTTTTTTTTTACCTCGGTTTTTTTTTTTGGCGGTAACCATAATGGTGGTCGAGTAGATCATGTTGTGCGGGGTGGAGAACCCTCACTCCGCGCAAGGGGGATGATCGCACCACGTTGTGTTAAAATGGTCAAGCACCCTCGAGGCAGTTACACAGTGCTTACAACTGTCTCTGGAAGTGAAAGCACCAGAAAATAAATTAATTCATACGCAGCTGTCATCCGTACGCAAGGAAGTAAGCACAAGATGCCGAACACCCTTAGCAGGATGCAGCGCACCCTTCATGCGACTCGCCGAATATCTCACGGCGCTTCGCGCTTGGTGATGTGAGAGCCTGGTCCGGTGAGAACCCGGCGTGCTCCGTCCCGGCTTTGTAGGGATGCGAGGTCAATGGTCTAACGACTACGGCATGCACGACTATGAGTACACCCCCCCCCACCGCTCCCATCCCGCGGAACCTCGTGCACCCCCGACGTGAATTTGATTGGTTGATTAACACGTGGGATGTCGTTCCCTGCCACGCACTGCGCCGGCGCCGCTGCCTCCGGCCAGTGCTCGTCTTTTGGCCTTCATTTTTTTGGTTTTGCAACTCTTTCTTGCCCTCGTCCCTTGGCCTTCATTTTTGTTTTGTAGCTCTTTCTTGCCGTCGTACCTTGGTGCACATGTCACGCTATCGATCACGCCCCCGTCCTCCCCGCAGGATTCGTCATCGCCCAAGCAGGTCGCGAAGAAGAGTGTGCCTCCGCCACCATCGCCAACGCCGCCGCCGCCGCCTCCTTCCAGAATCTCGGCCAGGAACCAGGCGATAAAGAAAGCGGCGGTGCAGAATGTCGCCGCCGAGAAGAAGCCGCCGGCAGCGCCTGCGCCGGCGCCGAAGCGCCGCAAGGCTCCGGCAGCNGGGGGGGGGGGGGGGGGGGGGGGGGGGGGGGGGGGGGGGGGGGGTCAGAGTGGAACGGTCGCGGAGACACAGGGCCCCCTCTCGTTGTTGTTGTCGGCGGTGGCGGAGGAAAAGGTCGGGGGTATCGTGTCGGCGGTGGAGGGCGGGGCCGGCAAGGAAGCGGGGGAGGGGGGCGAGGGGACCAAGCCGAGCGCTACCGCCAAGCTGACAAAGGTGCGTCATGTATGTGATGGGTACAGTACCCTTGTTTCGACCGGCATCGACTGCGCTCTCCGCCTAAACAGGCGCTGACCGAGGGCGAAAGACGGTTGGTGAGCGGAACACGCTTCAGCTTCGTCAACCGGCATCTGCCGCATGAACAGACCTGTCGACCAAACAAAAGACGTTCCGTCGTATGTACGCTACTTACGTAGTAGCTCGACGGGTTACAACGCGGAGGAAATTGCTACGTACCTGAGTCCACGGGTATCCGCGGGACAGCAGGGGAATCCGTCCGGAGAAAGTTACGTGTGTTTTGTTCGTCATCATCGAAAGCGTTGCGTAACCGGCTGATTTATGAAGTGATGAAAAGGCGTCGGTGCCAGCGGGTAGTATCAAGGTGTTATGTATGGATGTCTCCGCGTGTTGTTTTTTGTTTTGTCGCGATGGTCGGGGGAGAAGGAGGAGGCTAACGTGGGTCAAATGATGTCCAAATTCAATCTACATTGACGGACGTTTCTTGGCTGAGGACAGACACGCAAACGCCGGCGTCGTCGGTGGCTGATGACCTACTTGCCTCCCCGCCCTTGTGGCTTTGGTTTTTTGTTACGGGGCATATGATTTGTAGTTGAGACTAACAGGAACTTCAGTTGTGTTGGCTTCACCGTATCTTGGCAGCACTATTCTCTCCACTGTTGTTCAAAAACAACAATCACCAAACATTGACCTGATGAGTTAAACAACGAATTTAATGCCCACTATTTCCAATCACTTGAGAAAAGAAACTCAATAAAAACTTACATTTTCCTCTAGCAACAGCAAGAGCTATAACCGTCTGACTGATACTTGTTCATCCCCTGAACGACTAGAAAAACAAAAACTCTGCCGGAGTACAAAAAACAACGTCTAATGACCGATTTTCATCTCCGAAACAATAACAACGCGGCGGCCGCGGCAGGTGGCGGAGAGGAAGCAGCAGGCGGCCCTGCAGAAGGAAGCCGCGGAGGAACGCGCCCTCCCCAAGTGCCCCTTCTGCGGATCCGAGTTCTACGTCACCGAGACCCAGGACCAGATCGACCGGCACTTGTCCTCCTGCGGCGCCAAGAAGGCAGCGGCAACGTCAGCGTCGGTGGCCGACAGAAGTAGCACGCCCATGGCTCCTTCTCTGTCCAGCTCTCTCGTCATCGGGCTCAAGGGGGAGGACCTGGGCAGCCTGGTGGGGTCGGTGGTGGAGTTTGGTGCGAGGGGCGTGAGGCCCACGGGGACGTTCTGCGACCGGGCCATGCAGGCGCTGTGCAACTCCAAGTGAGAAGACGGGGGGGTTGGGGGGGGGTGGGGCGTACTCTTATGTTTTGCATGTCTTAGCGGTTAGACCATTGACCACGCGTCCTCGAGAGGACGGAGCATTGTTCCCACAGGACCGATCACCGATGGCCAATCGTTCCTTTCTACTTTGCCAAAGGTGGCTCAAAAATGTCTTCCCTAGTCTGTCTATCCTAACGATATCCCTTCCCGCCTTT